ATGGCCAAGAATCGCTTTAATTCCTTTACAGTATTTGGCAATTTGAAATTTTTAATGGCCGCTACCCGCTCCTTAATCGGCATAATTCCTTTTTCTGAAATTTCATGACCCAGAAAGACCAGTTTACTCTTTTCGAATTCTCATTTTGAAATATTGATCTTCAGGTTGTATGCACGTAACCGTTCGAACAATAAGCGTAAGTGTTTTTGGTGTTCACTTAAATCGTTAGAGGCGACGCAGATGACATCGACATAGGCGAATACGAAGTCTAAACCCCGCACAGCCTGGTGAATTAGACGTTGAAATGTTTGCGCCGCGTTGCGCAGGCCAAACGTCATGAAAGGGAATTCATACAGTCCGAAAGGCGTTGTTATTGCAGTCTTCTGAATGTCCTCGGGATGAACGGGAACCTGGTGGAAGGCCTTTTGTAAATCAACCTTCGAAAAAACTTATTTGCCGCAAAGGATTGAAGTAAAATCCTGCAGAAACGGGAGCGGATATCTATCAGGAATAGTGATCGCGTTTAGTGGGCGATAGTCCCCGCAATGCCTCCATGTTCCGTTTGATTTTGGAACTATGTGCATCGGACTCGCCCAGTAGCTGGATTATGGTCGGCAAATACATAGTCGCAGCAATTCGTCGATTTCACGTTTGGCAGCTTGAAGCTTTTCAGACGACAGTCGCCTTGGGCGCGAAAATACAGGCTGGCCGGATGTTTCGATATGGTGGGTGATATAAAAATTCGGCGAAGTTGCCTGGTTGTTGTTGAGTAGTGAAGTCTATGTAGTCTTTCAAAACCTGGGGTAATGACAAAGAAGCGTTAAACGATTTAATTAGCATACCTGGTATGTTTGAGGGTTCGCAATTTGCTTGTAGATTCGTTGAATTATCTATAAGACGTTTGCGTTTAACGTCGATAATAGTCCGTAATGTTTCATAAAATCAGCACCTAAGATGCACGTGTTTATGTCGGCGATCAGAAATTTCCATTCGAAGCGGGGGTGTAGTCCAAGGTTGAGCTTGAGCATCGTTTCGCCGAATACTTTAATTTCTGTTGCATTAGCTGCGTACAGCCGCATGTTGGTTGTGTCGACTTTCGCGAATTTGAAGGCTTGTGGGAGCACAGAAACGTCCGCTCCTGTGTCGATTAGAAATTTAAAGTTGTTGCATGTGTCGACGATTTTGAGACGGTTAATTGAAGCTGTGTGATGACGTTCGCGTTTGTTAACAGCAGCTTTAACGGGTTGTATGTGTCATTACTTCTTAGGCATGTTCGAAAAACGTCAAGGCTTGCGACAGCTTCGAGCATCGTTACCATATGTAAGATGATACCAGCAAATTTCTCTACCTGTGTTGGCACGCTGAGATTCTCGTGGAAGATTTCGTACACGGTTTCGTACTGAATCGCAGTTGGCGGTGTAATTATTCAGCTTTTGAGACAGTTGCTCTACTTCGAGCTGTAACGTTTCAAGTGCTGATTTGTTTTCGTTGCTGTTTTCACTGCTGTTTAAGTCGCGAAGCGGCATCTCGGATAAAACTTTTTGTAAACGACGTTGCTGGCTTTCTGCAAAATGATGAATTAGCTTCTCTTTGATATAATCGTATTTATTTTTTTGGGGTAATTCGCTGATTATATTTTGTAGCTCCATCGATTTTCCATATTATATTTCTTTACCTTCCATATTCGCTCAAGTCGGGGTCACCAATTTAGCAGATTTATTTCACAGAAATAAATGGTACTAATCTTAGTTGATTATAGGTATATTTATTGATTTAAAATCTATTATTTTTTACTTTTACAAAATTACGTGTTATCGCTTACGATGTCCTCCAGAGAAGAAGGAAAAAACGAAGAGCAAAAAAGAATGTCAAAAAATGAAGGTCGAGAAAAAGAGTTTGCTAGCTTGAAGGGTTGCCGGAGTGGCCACATGTATACATACATAATAGTACATGTATCATATTAACTGCCAGTTTTATCAGCAATTTAAATGAAAAATGATTTTTTCGTTTCTGTAAGTTCTCATAAGTTCTCAGTTCTGGTGGTAAACGAGGACAATACGAAGTATCTCCTGTCATCAAACAAACAGTCAGCACATTCGCGCCTTGGCACCCACGTCACTGTTGACAGTTACAATTTCGAGAAAGTAGAGAATTTCGTTTACTTGGGAACCAGCATTAACACCGATAATAATGTCAGCATTGAAATCCAACGTAGAATCACTCTTGCCAACAAGTGCTACTTTGGACTGAGTAGGCAATTCAGGAGTAAAGTCCTCTCTCGACGTACGAAAACCGCGCTCTATAAGTCACTCATCATGCCCGTGCTGGTATATGGCGCAGAAGCATGGACAATGACAACATCCGATGAGGCGGCTCTTGGAGTGTTTGAGAGAAAGATTTTGCGGAAGATTTACGGGCCTTTACGCGTTGGCGACGGCGAGTACCGCAGACGATGGAACGATGAGCTGTATGAGCTTTACAACGATATGGTTATAGTGAGCGAATTAAAATACAGCGGCTCCGCTGGCTAGGTCATGTCGTTAGAATGGACACCGACGCCCCAGCTCTGAAAGTTTTCAACTCGGAACCCGCTGGTGGTAGCAGAGAAAGAGGGAGGCCCTCACTGCGATGGAAAGATCAGGTGGAGAAGGACTTGGCTTCACTTGGCGTTTCCAATTGGCGTCAGTTGGCACAGAGGAGAAACGACTGCCGTGCTTTGATGAACTGGGCCAAAATCGCTTAGGCGGTTACAGCGCCAAAAAAGAAGAAGAAGAAGAAGTTCTCATATTAAATTCAAATATTTATAAAAAATCAAGCACGGATATCAAAACCTCTTACAAAATGAAATTTCATTTGAAAATCATATCAGTTGCGTTTTCGTACACGCTATAACTACTAATTGTACTGGATTCTTACTGGTTGGCGTTTGCGTACGCCAAGAAACTAGCAAAAGAGAGGAATTTGAGAGAGCAAAAATGGCAGCAGAACTTGCAAGTTTTACTGGATAAATTTTTAATAGTAACTGTTTGTCAGTAAGAATAAAATAATGTAAAAAAATATATTTTTAAAAACCAGCTTTTATTTAACATGAGCACTCAAAGCATGGTTTTTAAAAAGTTTGTTGTGCGAATAGCGACCTAGCAGGTACATACATATACAGTATATTTTGCTTTGCTGCCTTTATGCTTAAGTGCACATTTAAGATAACTACCCTTAAATGCGCATTAGCGGCATTATTTTTAATATTTATAAGGAAACTCCTCCGATAGGTGCATTCAACATACCTGCACATTGGCGATACCTGCCTTAAAAATTGTGCAACTATTATTAACTATCAAAGAAAGTATTAGGTTTACCTGCACTGGCCCTACAATTACCTAATTTTACAAGCTTTTATTTATTTTGCTCATCTCGCAGAACAACGAAAATGGCTATCAATTAATGTAGTTATATAGATAATTAGATACCATTCGGTAAAAATTTCGCTCGCAGTAATTTCTACGTGGTAAGTGCTCCTCCATTATTTGGTTTCATAGGGGTTCGGATACCTTCCTCATTGAAGTAGTAAAGTAAATTCGCTTAAGTGCTTTTTTCGGTTAAGTGCACAAGTTTTTCGTGCAAAGAAGGATGGGCAGCTAAGCAAAATATACTGTATTTCAAAAACTAGTTTCTATAAGGGTAATTTCCAAACAAAGTGCTATTTTTTTGTTCCCCATTATATAATCGATCCAAATAATGAACCACCAACAAAGCTGTTTTTTATTATTGTAAGCCGTTTTGTTTTATTTTGGGAACGGTATTATATAAAAATGGTAGTATATAAAAATATTTGTCCCCGCTCAGGTTATTCCATAAACAAAACGAAGAACAAAACAATGAAAAAATGCGTATTCTTTGTGAATGGCTACCATAACTTTTATTGTTTTATTCTATTTTTGCCTGACAAATTTTATCCAGAATGTCACTTTTTAAATTTTGCCGTGATATTAACATTCGTACTTTTGTTTGCCTAAGTGCATTGCAGTTAAAAAGTGCAAGAAGTTATT